AAGAGAGAAGAAATGTAGCTTGTAAAAATGTCTGTGGCCTTGTTAAGGTATCATAACAGTTACATTCAAGTTGACTTTTGATGCTATGCATCTTTAAAGCAGTAATCAGGCTCTGAATTTTTGTAGTATATGAAAAAGACACTGGCAATCAAAAAAACAATTATAAAAATAGCACACTTAGTCTCTAATCATTAGAAACAATAGATAGCACTTAGTAGGTATTCAGTAAATATTTGAACAGATAGGTCGTAATTCATTCAAACTGAGTTTTTGCTTCCTAAGTCATGCCTTTCCTATTCACTTACCATAAAAGTATTTTGACCACAACTTGACCAAAAATAAACATTACTGAAGTAATCATTCAATTTGTATGAGAAATTGGTGGTCCCCCAATGGCCAAGCAATCATCCTATGGAATTTAGCTCTGCAGGCTCTATTGATGACGGCAACGAACATGTTCATAACAATAATACGGGCTTGTTTTAATAGAACGTTCCACGCATTAAACACATTAATGAGCCATGAAATAACTGTTTTATCTGTAACACATTAAGCAACATTGCTAAAACAAGGTACTAATTGAAAGTCTGCTATTTCTCTTAAAGCAAGACTTTTAAAAGTATAAAAACTACATGCCAGTCATTCTGTAAAAATTAAAAAAATCCGACTTCAAAATCAGAGCCATAGTAGAGGGTTCTATGAAAAATAAAAACTTCTATCATAAGCCTGATAATTTGAGATGTCTTATTTTGATAAATCCCATTTTCTTCTAACGTCAAAAATGACATCTGTTTAGATTATGACTTAAGTGTCTTATGAATATTTTAAAAGCTTATCGTTTACTTCTCTGCATGCTCTTCTTCTACAGGACTTTTCTTTCTCTTTCCTTAACAGGTATGAAAATGACCATACTCAAATATACCCCCCTTACGACCATCTTTTTCAATTTTCTAATACTATGTTTGATATTCCAAGAGCACCAGTGTGGCATTTTCTATAAATATGTGCTATCACAATTAAATCCCAAGCCGTATCAAACAGAAAATGTCAGTCCTCGAAACACGAACTATAATGTATGAAGAAAACGTCCGTGAATTATCAGTGTGTTTTATAAATTCTCTCTTTTGGGGGGAGCATACAAAATATCAGACGAGAGACAATTATTTTACTGTCTGTTTCTTGGATATCAAAGAGAATTTTGAAATTCATCAAAGCTAACCTTCTGTTATGTACAACAGGCTAAGCTGAAAAGAATGTTAACAAGTTCAATTTTCATTCAATCAGCACTACTGCTCTCTGAAATGTTTCATTGCAGGAAAGAAATAAAAATAATCTATATGGTAATTATGAGGATGAATCCCCCAGTAACTTTCAGCTACATGAAAGGTCAGTTCTATTCAAGATATTTTATCAGTCCCCTGCACATACTCCTGTCCTGTCATTTTAAATCTGAACAGCATTTTATTTTCCCATTTACAGCTACCTGCAGAATTAAGTACTTAAGCCAAATAAGGGAAGAAAAAAAAAAAAAGAATGTTGAATGCTGGCAAAGGCTATAATAGCATAGAGATAAATCGTTCAGCTGCTCTCTCTCAAGCCTCTAGGGCTGTAGATTTTTCTTCTCCCGGTGCACTGTGGGTATTCAAAACTTGTTCAACATGATTTCATTTCATTTCAGGCACTGCCTGAGAAAACTAAATTACAGAATCAATCATACAGAAGGTCAGAGTGAGACTTCATTACAAGTATTGCATGCTTGCATGAATATCTTTCATTTATGACTGACCCAATATGTCACAATAGCTGTCTAGTAAAAATAATCCACTTTCTGAAATTGATGTACTACTGATGTCAATGCTACTCAGCAGGCTGGGCAGTTTATAGAGAGGTGTTAAAAAAAAAAGCCCTTTGGCGTGCTTGTTGTAGATTTTTCAGATTGCAATCTTTTGCAGATTAAAATAATTTCCAGATGATCATCTAAACTGACAATAATGCACAGAGGTAAGGAATTTTTCTAACCAAAATATACTGTTGATTTCTACTTGCCAACCACATGCTGCTTTGAAATACACGTATCCACAACAAGCAAATCGAGGGTTTTCTATGAAGTCACAAATGCATGGACTCAATGTTTCAATAATTTGCTTTTGAATACCAGAGCATTATTTGCATTGTGAAATGTGAACGCTAAGTACTGGACTCATTTTTTTAAGTTTTGTATTTTTATTTATTTTTATTATTATTGAATTTATTGGGGTGACATTGGTTAATAAAATTATACAGCTTTCAGGTGTAAAATTCAATAATGTATCACCTGTAAATTGTACTGTGTGCTCACCACCCCAAGTCAAGTCTCCTTCCATCACCATTTACCCCCCCTTTACCCCCTTCTACCCCCAACCCCTTTCCCTCTGGCAATCACCATGCTGTTCTCTGGTCTCTGAGTTTTGTGGGGTTTTTGTTGTCGCTGTTTTTGGTTAATCCCTTCCCCTTTTTCACCCAGCCTCCCAACCCCCTTCCCCTCTGACAGCTGTCAGTCTGTTCCCTGTATCTACGAGTCGGTTTCATTGGACTCATTTTTAATCCCCCCTTTTTGCTCCTGCTCTGTTTTTAAATATAATGGCATAAATTGAAGGAAGATAAACATGTTGTGTTTGTTGCCAACAAAAATGCAGCTAATCAGTAACGTGACAAACTGTCACTCTCTCTAAAGGAAAACCAATGAGGCTCTGAAGAAAAGCTGGTTTAATGCAACATAAACAAGCTGGCTTTCTTCTCATATGATAGTCTTATCACCATAGCAATCCCTAACAGACAGCGTATTCATTTGGATAATCAAACTTCTTACTTGCATAAGGTATGAAACAGCCAGGCAGCGGGCGCCGAATGCGTGATGTATAAAGCGCTGATTATTTGCGGGTGACCTTCCTGGGGGAAATCTCGGAGGAGCCGCGCGGAGCATTACGATACAGCCAGCGACTGGGGCCCGGCCGGGAGGGACCTTGACACAGCCTATTTTTAACCATGCCTCTGGCGATTCCCAATTCAAGTTTATAGGTGAGCATGTCAAGCAGTACACAGAACAAAGCCAACGACACATTGTATTCATCATAATTCTGTCCTAGTACATTTTATTTTTTCCAACATTTGTGATTTAAAACCCCATGACATTTCTTCAAGGTGAAATTCTACTAGACTTCTCAACAAGATTAGTTTGTTTCGAGCCAAAATAAATATCATTGGGTTCAGCAAAACTTTAGAAAGGCACCGACAGATGTGATGAGGTCCATGTAAATACCATGACTACAGCCTGCACTTAGCTAATGTACTTATACTTTAGAAATCAATGAAATAATTCAGCTGCTTTAGTGATTAGCAATACATTACAAAAGCAGCATTAAAAATTGAGTCCTCTCCCCCAACGCCAGCCCCTGAAAGCACTGTTCTTTAAGTGTATGTGAATATCATAATTATTTTATGATTCCATCTTTAGTTCTTTCCAATATAGTAAATTCGATTGACCATGAAATGAAATTTCATAGTCAAAATGCCTCCTTTACACTTTTTTTTATAGCAGCAATAACAGTTTTATGGCTTTAAGGGAAGGTAATTCATCAGATGTTTAATTTAAAGGCAGATTCTTATATTATTAATAAATATTTACCAATTTAATAAAGTACACATTTTAGCATGCATTATATGGTCTTTTAACTATTTCCGAGACTTTAATGAGCCTCGCTGAGCATCGATGAGTAATGGTGAACCCTGGCTAACTCCCCTGGTGACTAAACACCCTCTTTATTTTTATTATTTTCCAGGCACAACACTGCAAGCCTGATTGTAGACAAACAGAGACAGAACCCTCCTTTCCAGTGTCAAAGGGACAAAAATGTAAGAAAGTCCACAGGAAACAATTATTTGCGATGGCGGGGAACGTTTATGAATACTTAATGACCCTTCCCGACTGTTGGCTCCATTTTTTTCCAGCAAAAAAGTAAAAATAAAAACCCTGACGTTCAGTTCAAACACAAAAGATCACAGGCAAAGAAAATTATGTTGCCGCAATCCTATTTGGGAAAGTAATCTTATATTTCAGAGCGCTCGCTGAATCTCCACACGCTAATCCACTACATATTTTGCAATTGTCTGTTGTTATCTGGGGAATTAACAATGAACCCAGTAAACATCACTGGCACGGTCCTAAATGTGCAGAGAAATATGTAAACAAGCAATAGGATTTGTTGTTTGTTATATCAACACATCTGTTTAATTTTATCGGGGTTAAAAAAAAAAAAAAAGGCCTTATAAACTATTAATCTTGTTTTAAAATGTCTGCTTAGTATCTCACCTAGATAGACACAAATGCTTTATATACTGTGGTGGAAAAAAAAAAATCCCAGCAGAAGAGTTTAAAATACTTAAGGAGATTTACTCTGGTGATTGCTGACTATAATTGCTAACTAAAAAAAGAGAAACAAAATGATTGCATTAGCCGTCTCAGCTCTCTGGAGTGCCTTATTCAATGTTTATGACAATAAATAACACGATTAGATGTATTTCACACAATAACCGGATCTATATTTTCCTGGGCTGATTATAAGCAGTTATTCTTTTCCCGTTTCTCCGTATCACAGTTGGGTATTTCATCTGAGGTGGGAGCCGACCGTGAATCACAAACGTGGTGTTCCAGCCCACCCAAGGCAGGCCCCGGGCGCCTGGCCGAGGGCCCCCATTTCCACGCGGCGCCCGGGCAGGCCTTCAAGGCCAGTGCGCCTCTCTGTTGAACAACAAGCCAGGGCGACGGGTGGCTTCCAAACCAATGAGTCTGACCCTTAAAAAATCATTTCAGATCCGAAAGATCTTGCTGGGTCACCCTCTTTCGGATGTGCCTGCCAACCAACCCAGCGCCCCCTCGTCAAATACCGGGGATGGGCTCTCGAACCTGTGCCCCGAGACGCGCAAAGAGCGAACAGCCTTCGAGCCACCGACGCGCCGCCTACCGTGTGTAGCCCACTGCCGTGCAGGGCCCCGTCTTGGTCCACGAGGTTCCTTGAGATGGTGATGGACGGGAGATCCAGGCTCTGGGGGGGGAACTGGGGCGTGAACTCGCTTCCCTGGGCAGGCAAGGGCTCGCCGAGGCCTTGGAAGGGCAGGAGCACGTCGGGGAGGCCCAGGGCGGGGTCCGCCTCCGGGGGCGGCGTGATCGGGGGGATTTCAAACTCCTCGTCTCCAAGGCTCGGCGTGTGGAAGGTCTGCTGAAAGGGAACAAAACACAGGCACCTTCACGCTCCGCTCCTATGCCTCATTCCTCCCCGGAGCGAAGAAGAAAGGCTTTGCACGACACTACAGAGCTAGGCCAAATATTTATTTCTCAAATGAAAACATCTTAAACACAGATTTCCACATATAAAGTTTTGCTGATCATTCTGATTAAAGATTTAAGTCTCATTATCATATGGTTTTAATGGAGTATCAGTATTAACAGTTTTTTAATGCGTACTTAATTAGCAACATCTGTCTTTGTTGTTAGTTGGAGCAGCAGCGACATTAGATTTGGCTATATAACAAATTGCCACTTTATTGATATGTTAGTGAAACAGCTCAAACCGCTCCCATTATCCACATGCTTCATAAAACGCCGACGATTCTGTGGTGCACACACACAACATTAATCCAGAAGTGAACATTACGCATATTTACTTTCTGTCACAACATATAAAACAAGTCATATTAAATTTGCAGTTTGCTTCTTAAACTTCTTTACTGATATATTCCCAAGTGCAATAAATGCTTCTATGGAAATTGTTACTGTTTATAATGCAACGTTGTATATAAGAACTATCTTCAGAGCATCTATTAAAATGTTCCAGTGCTTTTATTTAAACTATAAGGAGAGTTATTTCCTTTGATATGAATATTTTGATACGTATTAATCAGACCATTTTCTGCCAGTCTTCTACTTTTATTTTATTTTATCTATAGAATGAGCATAGAGATATATTGATAGAGATACACAAGCTCCACTGAGGCTGCTCACTTAGACAAATGTTATTTCTCAAGACCTAAGAGTAAACAATGCACTGCTTGCTTTATTGCTACTTAGGTTCTTAAAGGTCGTGTTATAAGAGAGGGCCTTTGAATGTAAATCAGGACTGTATGCTCAACCCCACTAACCACCTTTCTTACACTTGAACTTGGATTGGGGGGGTGTCAAGGTCTAGAATATTATTTTTGGTCGAGTAAAGGGGTTGGGGGACCACTCAGATTTTTTTATCCTTAGCTCAGAGGGTTCAATTTACAGTTCATTTATTATTAATAACATTTTTGAAGAATGAATTGGTGCAAGATCGTTTGAATCTGCTGTAATTGGCTAAGAGAACTCATTTAGAGCTGAAAATCATCATTATTCAAACTCTGAATTGATGATATAATTTAACAACCACTTGAGAGAAAATAGAAACAAACTGAAGGGGAAAAAACACATTTCTTACATACAGAACCTGTCAACTCTTATTTTTCTCTCACCAGAGATAAAGGGGTCACATGACATGGGGGACCCTGGCAGACAATCAAACATCTCAAGGTCCTCAGTAGATTCGATATATGCAAAACTTTACTGCATAGCAACACATTTGAAAGCTAGAATGAAATATTAGATTTTCTGACATATCTATTCTGATAATGACCCCTAAAAGATGTTGATTTCTTACGATGTACCCTGAGTTCTCAAACACAAAGGGATGCGTTGGCCGCCAACGTGGTTGGCTAATGAACGTCACCCTATGGCTGCATTTGCCGTTATTTTGGCACTAATGCGGTCTAGTAACAGATGCAACTGTAATTTGTGACTCATTTGCTACCCCATTACTGCTTAATGAAATCTAACATATCACATTAACAATACGGATAAACACTCATTCTTGATATGTGGCATTTGGCTGTTTTCATTACCACTGTAATTAACACTTGAAATATTATTTCAATAAATATTTAAAGTACTTTAAAAATGGTCAGGGTAATCATGACACAGACAGAAAACACGAAGCAAACGTGTGAATTTCAAACTCAGAGTCTCCCGGTCCCCACGGAATTATCTGCAGAGACAATAGCTATGAGAAGGGGATTGGTTTCAGGTACAATTTCGATTTTACTGCATCAAGCCCAAAGTCTTCCCAAATTAGTTTCCGCTCATTAAAATGTTAAAAAAACAAATAAATTTACATTTAATGCAGTGATTGGGAAATTAGGTACATGCTATAATGTAGCACATTAACATTTACTCGGGCTTTATTTTTTGTTCAAAAAAAGATGTGCGGGGAAATCATTACATAAAATTACCTCTTAAACTCTAACATAAACACATCTTACCCTAGGCAGTCAAAATTAAGGAGGTTTTCATTTTTATTTTTGTTAAGGAATAGAGAGCTATCTTATCTATATATAAATGTCCTTACAGTATCATTTTATAAAAAACAAGATAATTTTAAGTTAGAATTTAGTCTACTACTATATCGTAACCTAGTAAAACAATACAATAAAATTATATTACAGTACATAACCAAGAACATGCTAAAATCTTTAACCACTTTTAAAGAGAGGTAATGTATTAAATACAATGTTAAGCATTCCCTAGAGAAAAGCGTCACAAAAACACTGGTTATCTGAGATTATAAAAGTAACCGTGTATGGCATCCGCAACAACAGCAAAAGTTACTGACTCTGGACACTGTGCCTTGTGACCAAGATCAGATTAATCGTTTCAAGTTTCTATGATTACTTCTTGCAGATATTGACTTTTCAGTGTTTACCTTGAACACGTTAAAGTAGAGTGTACACGGTTAAATACCATCTGTACTGAAATGTTCAAAACATTTGTTCCTTTTGATAAAAATGCAAATCTGGAGAACTGTTGTATCAACACATAACAGCCAATGTCTGACACGGTGAATTATCACAGCTGGAATTAAATTGTCTCTGAGCAGCTGCTGGCAGTGGAGCTTTCATCAATGTTTGATTCAAATGTAGGGAAAAATCCTACAGAATGAAACACCGTGTTGTCCTTACAGATGGGGTTTGTGTTCATTATCGCAAACAACACAGCAGCCAGTGCCAAACAATATTCCCTTATCTGGGCTGTCTTCTTGCTTAGAGAGATGATGGTCACCGTAAAAATGATTCATCTACAAGTGCCCTTCATTCTGGATTCCCTGTTTTTTCCAAATAATTTCTCAATGTGAATTTCTTTCATACGACTTGCTTCCTTGGACCAAGATCATCGACAAAGCCATTACGGTTTTCACTCTCCGGGGGTCAAACGAGTTCAGTTCCTATATTTGAATGTATTTGGAAATGGAAGACTTTTTATTGCAGGAACCGCCAAGAGGTCCCATTTGGACGAATTTCACTGTTCGCTCTTGTTTTAAAATCTTAAATCTCACAGGCTACCATTTTTAAGAAACCATTCCCTTGATCTAATCAAGATCGAGGTTTTTCTGGAGGGCAGGCCAACGAGACCAGACAACAGCCCTAAGTGAGTGAGTCAGGAATTCAATAAAAACAGCGACAAGAAGGGATGTGTTCCAGTGGCACCAGTAAACGGTAAACAACCCCGGGGTCAATGTGGAGCTGCCCTTAGGCTCCATCGCTCAGCTTTCCTGGCTGTGGCCACGTCCTGGAGCGTGCCATTCACCCCTTCATTCATGCAGTCCGCATTTACTGAGCAGCTACTGCGTGTCAGGCACTGTACTAGGCTGTGGGGATCTAACAAAAACCGAAACACTGACTTCCAGTCGCTCCCACCGAAGACCTAAGAATGATAATCCTGTCCTGCCGTGTCGTTTCCCAAATCAGGGCAACTTAATGAGATTATCCCCAGAGCTATGCGAAGTTAAAATAATATTTTCTATCAAAAGTCACTTCCATCCTAGTTTCCAAACTAACCACTCGTCTGCTTAGGCACCAATACAGTTTGCATAGATAGATTTTCTGCACTCTCGAGGATCTCCTTTTGTCTGCATATGTATTTCCCTTCATCAAGAGGTGTGTGTGAACTGCTGTTGTTCTCAATGGCCTTGGACAAGTGACAGAGGCCGCTCAGGTTATTTTCTCTTCCAATAGGTTTTTCTCGTGTCTCCTCCTAAGTTGTTACCTTGTGTCTCGTAAGAGAGAGAGAAATCTGATACTTTGCTTTTCCCTTCCAGCCTCTTAAATGATCTAAATAACACACAAAACACGAAGGGACACATGAAGACAGGCGCCTACCTCGCTGGCTGCAAAGAAAGCGTTGTTTGCCTCGGCCATGTTCATGTAGTTATTGTTATTTCCAAACTGCAAGAAAACAGATTGTCTTAGGTTAATGCACAGCCCAGTGAAGGCTCCTGGAGGCGTCCCTCCTGCTCGGTGGGGCCTGGAGAAGCGGGCGCTGGGGACGGGGGGCGGTCTCCCAGCGCCGGCGGCTGGGCCCCGGCAAAACGCGGGCGGGTCACGCTAACTTGCAGGTTCCAGAAAATACGGGGGTCCCTCATGAAGACCAATGGCAAAGCGAGGCAATCGCGCACACTTGGCCAACCGGCGAGCAGCGGGTGCTGTTTGTTGAACCGGCATCTGTGAGAGGTTAGAAGGAAAAGAGTTTCCCCCAAACCACCCTGACACATTTTTAAAACATGTTGGGATTTCAGAGCTTACTTTTCCAGAACAGATGTCACAAGTGTGGGTAGGTTAAGATGTGAATTAAAAGGAACAGAATTCAATTCCCAGGACTCAAATTCTATTTTCTAGTGAATGGGGTGTGGTGTGAATATAAATAAATAATAAGACTAAAGAATATTTTTTAAATCTCCAGAGTTTAAAACGATATCTATATCCATCAGAGCTGTTGAAAATAGTGATATTTAATCTCTCAATGTAACATTAAGTGCAAAGAGGTTTAAAAAATAAGCGGGATCCTATGAACACAGCAATTTTTATTTAATTCCCTAACACAATAGCCTATTCATACCACCACAAATAAGACTGTATCAGCATTTCAGACATAAGCTCTTTACTTCCAGAGACCTGTTATCAAAATGTAAAACTTGGATTTGGGCAGAAATGGGTTTTTGGGTTCGGGTGGTATGAGCGGGCACATTTGGTGGCTTTAAACATTGTTATCAGCCTGGCAAGATGGAAGGCCCTGTGAGCATAATTAGCTGGAGTTATATTATTTTCATGATTTTTAAATGGTAAAAGGCCGCCCTCCTTTTTACACAGTGTACGATTTCCTTCCTTTCACGCATTAAATGACACATGGGTTCGGTCCCCAAAGGGTGGAATGCACACATCCATTCTCTAATATAAACAGAGCTAGTAATTATTGAAAGTAGGGGCACACTCTTCCCAAGGAGAGGGAAGGGGGCGGCAGGGGGAGAAAGAAACAGAGAGCGAGCGAGAATAAACAGAACACAGGTACCGAAGACCCACACACATCCTCTCAATGAACCCACCAAAACTATTTGCAGGGGGGCTCTAGCCCCTGACTGAACCCGTAAGGCTCCTGCACAGAAGCGGGGCTGACACGGCAGGGACCCAAGAACGGGGCAGGATCTATACGAACGACCCGAAAGGGTCCAGAGCGCTGCTAAGGTCCAGGGGAGCAAAACCCCACGCCGCACAGCGACACCTCCACACATGCCACACAGCGGGCCCTCAGTCCATTTGGGTGAATATCTTTCTAAGGATTTCCAAAAGATGTATCTGCTTGTGCTTAAGAAAGGCCTTTATCTGGCTTCTTGGAAGGCACGTGATATCTAAAATAAGCATACACTTATCTCCGAACTATGGAGTTGCATACATTCAGTACGCAGAGTTTGTCTGTATGTACATCACACCTCAATAAAGGGGTTTCAAAAGAATTTAAAAGTTGTTTTTGTAAAAACACACACACACACAAGCAGGTGCACACGCACACACATGCACACACAAACACAAACACATTTTCCCCATGCTTCTACAATATTAAAAATGTGCAAGAAAAAGCATAGCTTCTGTCTTGGAATTCTTGATGAATTAATGATCTTGGAATTAAAATCTCGGGCCTCCATTCCGCATGTTCATTATAAATATTTATGAGAACTTGGGTCACGCTGTGCATTCCATGCACCAATCCTGGCTCCCCAAACAGCCTGTATCACAACTTTAACGTTATTTAAATGTAGGTTTTGTTGGGGAATTAGAAATCCATTTAAGGCAAACAGCTCATTATCACAGAGTATTTTTTTAAGATTAAACTCGCTTATTATCTAATAGCACCTAAAACAACAAAGAAAAATAAAATGGCTATTAAACTAAGGGCCTAAACAATTCAAAAAACAAATTAAGCTTCGAGTGAAATAAGAACTGGGTTAGAAATCCTCTTCTGAACAGTTAGTATGCGAATGTAATTACTGAAGAAACTACAGCTAATCAGCTGTGAATTGTATCCATTAATTAGTATTTGCCCTGGAGAAATGAGAAAAACCAGTAACATCGCAGGCACCTCTGCGTGAGGATGAGCCACGGGATGGTGGCGCTGCATTTAGTCAAGCAGGTGGCTCCAGTGGTCCAGGTAATTTGAAAAGCTCTCACCTGAAGTACTGAGCTGGAATCACAGAGCACTCCCTGCGTATCTTTTGTATCTATATATACAGGCCTTAATTAACAGCTTTTAATTTGGAAACACTTGGCAATCAGGCAAGAACAGTTATAAATCATTTCAAATAGAAGCAAAGGTTTCTATTCTGTTTGGGATAAAATACCTCAACAAAGGTGGCTTCGAATGCTGACATGTTACAGGGCACTGCCTTCCTCTTGCCTAGGGGGCCCCGCCCCTGGTGCGGTGAGGGAGGGTAGTCAGATAAAACACAGGACAACCACTTAAATTTGACTTTCAAATTAACAACTTTTTTAAAAAAAAAAGTATAAGTATGTCCCACGCACTATTTGGGATATACTGATACTAAAAAAGTATTCTTTCTTTATCAGTGATTCAAATTTAACTGGGTGTTAATGCATTTTTATTTGCTATATCTGACCCCCCAATGTAGTGGTGACCCTGATCAGGATGCAAGAGACGCCACTCTTTGTGTGACGTACCTTATCTAGCAATGCTAGTGTAATTGTATCTATTTTATTTTTAAATGTGACCTATGAATCCTGCTTTACTTGTTTGTGTAAGAACATATCTGATTCTTAGAGAAAAAGTGACCCTTTGGGGGCAGATCTTTAATATAATGACCTCAGAACAATTAACGTCAACTAAATTGTGTATAATTAAATTTATGTTCTAGGAGATAGTGACACTGGTAAACACACTGTATTACAAAAAATCCAAGGTCCCTGAGGGAGGAAGGGGCCTTAACTGTGTTCACCACTGGCTCCCCCAGAACTAACAACAACGTCTGGCATATTCAAAGCAGTCCAAGCTTTGTGAAGGAAGGGAAGAAAGGAGAAATCCCACTTTAACCTCAGGGTCTCATAATCACCCATCCTAGCTGGAGTAACTCCATCACTTCCGTTTTCGTGATGAGTGTGATGATGACCGTAATAATCCTAATAATCATGTTAATGTGTTTTTGCCCTGTAATGCCTTCTACATACATTATTTAATTTTCCTAAGTGCAACTAAATGTAATTTATTTTCCCAACAACCAGTTAGATAAACATAATTACTATCCCCATGTTATAAATTAAGAAACGGAGGCTCCTGAGAGTCAAGCTACTTGCCCCAAATCCGATACAAACACGGAAGTGGGACATCCGTCCTGCCTCACAGTCTGTATCACTTATGATCCAATATCCATCAAACCTTGAATATTTCACTCGCTGATCAATGCCACTCTAAATCTTATCAATCTTATCTTACTCGCAGCTAGAATTTCCCAGCGGGTAGAAAAGGGTTCCCCGCAGCCCGTGAACGACACAGGCCGCTGTCCTCTCCGAGTCACAATGCCAGCTGCAAAGTTAAAGGCCTTGAGGAGTCCTGCAGCTAATTCTTCAAGGCACCATGCGGTACTGTGCTAGGCACTGCAGATAAAATGGGGAGGAAGCCGATAAGATTCCTCCTTGGACGGAGCTTACATTTTTCTTACGTGTGAGACAGTAACCCCCTCCCCACCCAAAATATTTTTTTCCCCGCGGAGCTCTTCCTTTTGTTTTCCCCACAACACCCTGTGGGAACACACTTTGGGAAACCTTGTTCCAAACTCTTTACTGACAACATTCTTTTATTGTCCTCGAATCCTTATAAAAGCTAAGAGCTTACTTTTGTACAATGGTAGCATTGATGCATTTTGCAAGTCAACTAAGTAAGAATTTCTAAATTATGCGCTGTAAGTCACCTTAATTTGGCCTGTTCCCAGCCTTTTAGACGGTGACTCGCTGTTCCTTCAAAGATCTCCTGCTCAACCACATAAGGTTCTTCCAGGAGACTTGAAGAGTCCAAACAAAACATTTCACGTAAACTAAACGAACATCAGGTGGAACAGAGAGTTAACTGCTCTGAAGAGCATATAAAAACATGAAAGAAATGGGCTTACATACAGGGGAAGCGGTCGCTGAGAGGCAGGGGCATTTGCGGGGCCCTTTCCCCGCTGATAGGCTCTAACAGATGCGATCCCCAAGGACACAATCCCCAAAGATGTAACTAGAAGGCAGCACTGAATTACTCTGCGCACCTCCACCCTCATCCTTTCACAAAAGAACATCTTCATTGTACTGGGACGTCCAGGTCCTGTTTCTGCCTGATGGGCAATTACAGCCTCGGCAAATATAATTTATGAAGGACATCAATTAGAAAGAAGCACTGCAGGATTTTTTAAAAATTTCCTGAAGACCATGGTGTTCCTGGCCGTCTCACCCTGTGAAGTGCCACAGTGAGCGAGCGGGGCCGCGAGGGGCAGCCCGGCCAGGGTGCGGCACAGACAACGACCCATCTGGGACCACGGGCCGGCTCCCCAGCCCGACGGTGCCCGCATCACTCCCGCTGAAATTATTCTGACACCACGTGAAGAATCGCGCAGGCGTCTAATAAAGCAGCATTAACTACAGGGTATCAAACAGCTAAATGGCATAAATTTAATCCTTAAAAAATATGATAATCCTTCAAACTCTCTTTTCTTTCTCCCCATTAGATTTGTTAGCAGACACCATCCAATTTGATGGCTCAGTAAGGACATCTGTCAGGTTGCACTGTGCCATGGTGGGGCGAGCGTGCCAAGCGCGCTCACGGGGCGGGCAGGCGGCGCTGAAGTTCACTCCCCCGGGCTGGTGACTACCCCGCGGGACAGGACCTACTGCAGACGATCCAGTTTTAACCGTTTCCGGCGGTGGCATCCGCTCCGAGACAAACATCCCGAAAGGGTGAACACAAGCCCACCGTGGCAAGATGATACTACCAGCGGTTACTGGGGGGACCCGGAACCCCCTCCCCCTCAGGAGAGGATGACTTAGTGAACAAAGACTGGTTATACCAAGGGCGGGTGAACAGTAGCATCTGGAAACAAAACCTGCAAACGGTGAACTCTGAAGCAGAATTAGCAGGAGCATCCACAAACACACACATACACAATTCTGCTAATTACATATGTACAATTATAGAGAGAGAATTACACACACCTATAATTATATACACCCACATGTATTCATGTGCACACATACCTTAACAGGTCAAACACCAAGCAAGACTTTTTTTGAAAAGAAATTTTCAAAAATATTACTTGCCTTCCCACATGCTAAAAACTCCTAGATATTTATCTCCTGAGCACCCGAGTCATATATAACAGCCACAGCACTTCCACTTGGGTGGCAGCAGGCACCTCAATCACAAGAGCAAAAGGGGACTCCTCATGCTCGCCCCAAAAACTGCCCGACCCACAGTGTCCCCCACCTCCTTTGATGGGAACTGGCGCAATTCTGGTGACTCAGGCCAAAACTCACGCTTGAATCCACGCTTCCTGCCATCCAGAGCTTCTGTTGGTTCCCCTTTCCAGTTATACCCAAAGCTGACCACTTGTCACCCTCCACAGGACCCACCCAGGCCCAAGCCATCTATTCCCTCCTGGGTCATCGCTGTAGCCTCCCCGTGGGGCCCAGCTCGGCTGGGCTCCCCACACGATGCACTCTCTGCTCACAGCCAACGGCAACCTTTGAAGATCTAAGTCAGATCACATCACTCTGCTCAAAGCCTTCCAATGTCTCCCTAGTCACCCAGGGAAGAAGCCCAAATCCTTACATTGGCCCTGGTTTCTTCTCTGACCCTTGACCAATGTTCTCCCTTCTGTTCATGTTACTCTGGCCTCCCTGCTGTTTCTTCAAGAGCCCAGACATCCCCCCAGCTCAGGGCCTTCCCACGGGCTGTTTCCTCTGCCTGGAATGTGGTCCCTCCAAACGTCCCCAGGGTTTGCTCACTCCCTCCTTTTGCATCTTTCCTCGAATGCCACCTTCCCTCTGGCGGCCCTATAAAATTCCTTTGCAGCCCTCCACCTCCAGCACTTTCTATCCCTCTTCCCCTCGTCGATTTTTCGATTTTTTTTCCCGTAACACTTCTCAACATGTTTACTGTCTTTCTCTTCGCCCCACTAGAATGTAAACTTAATGATAAGAATGTCTTGTCCATTGTTTACACTGATGTCCCAGTGCGAAGAAAAAATGTTTGATAGACAGCAGATATTCAATAAATCTCGACTGAATTAATTTCTAGATGTGAAATGATGATACGGAGAATTGCTCTCCAAGCCAAGCAGGACACGGTACAATCACTTGAAATTCAAGTGAAAGGAGAAACCAAACATCCATCACCACAGGCCTCTCCACAAACCACACCTATGGGGAAAAAGTGGTCATAGGAAGAGATATATATCCTAATAAAATTAAGAGTTTAAATGCTAGAGATACTTAGCTTGGAAAAAAAGCTTTATTCTAGAAAATGCACTGACCCCAGGTGGGGATAGAGTATTCAGGATGGGGCCGGGCCTTGGATGGTTGAAAGCCAGCCTCAGTGGACAACACAGGTTCGGACCTGCAGGCAAAGAGCTGAGAGAACAGAAGGCCAACAATCTAGCACCAATGGGCGTGTGAATTTGAGGATGAAATTTCACAGCTGGTTTTCTTATTTTTCTAATTAAAATCTCTTTTTATTTAAAAATGCTTTATAGTCTAGGTCAGAGTTTCTCAAAGTGTAGTGCTAGGGACCACAGGAGAACCAGATGCCTGCTGAAAATGCAGATTACCTGACCACACCTTGGATTTACTGTATCAGAATCTCTAAGCCGTCCGTGGGGCCTAAAAATCTGTATTTTTAACTAGTTTCTCAGAAACTCTAAAACACACTAATATTTGAAAAGCACTAGCCTAGTTCATTTCAGACTGATGTGGTGGCAACTAGCCTTTATAAATAAACCTCTCCATCTATCTGAGGAGGATCTTACTGAAATGCTTATGTAGCAGCGGCTGCCACAGGAAAATGCGACCACTTGTAGGTGACCATAGGCCCCTTTCCCACCCTCACGGCCAGAGGGCAGGATGGGAGCATCCTAAGCTGGACCACATAGGGAAGGCTAGTGCCACTGTCGGATTTTCCAACACGTTCTGTGGAGCCACAGAAGGAACAACAACGCCTAAACATATGGACCCTACTCAAACAGGGAGGCCTTCGGATTTGCATGATCTGGACACATTTGAGCCTGTGAATTGCAGAACCATCTGGACTAGTTAGAAATGGCAAGGACTGAAACACAAAAACCAAGGAAGTACAAAACCCAACTGCACTTGTTTAATATCAGAAACAAATGTAAGCAGAAGAGAGGATACTAAGCTTCCCAAATCACATTTTCTTTTTAACAAAAATGGAGCGATCTTTGGGATGGGCCCAGCAGCCAAGCGTGACCCACGTTCAGAGAGAGGGAGGCGGCGGCCCTGGTTTCCCCTGAACACACGGGGCAGAGGCCAGCCGAAGCTGACACACGTGCTAAGTGCCCACACCTTCCGTGCAATTCCGCTCCATCTCCCCCTTCCTCCGAAAGCCTTACCAACACCCAAGCAAGAACTTACTAGATGCTAATGAACAGGACATACTGGGGGAATACATCTACCTTTCTAAAGATGTGAAAAAGTAGCAGTCAATGATATAATTGTTGCTTTAAAGAGATGACAACTCAATCAGGGTGATGGGGCACAAACATTGATCAACCTCAGGGCCAACTCAATGAGTGACACTGACAAACAGCCTGAACGTTTAGAGGAAGGAATGGCCAATCTGAGTCACGTCTTGAACCACAGAAGGAGGCAGGAGGAGGGGGCACCCCAGCAGGCCTAAGTGTGTGCAGGCTTTGTTCAAAGGACAAAGCAGAGGCCAGAGAGGCTGCAGGGGAGGTGCCAGACATTGAGAGAAATGGAGGTAAGCTGGGAGAGACGGTAGGCAGCCAAGCTATGGAGAGCTCTGAAGGCCAATCTGAATGTTTCGAAATGTACTCAATAGGAAGGTCCTATTTGGATACTCAACAGGAAAGTCTGTTTGGGTTTCTTGAAGTTCACTGGAGTGATAGGTAAGAGCAGCCATTTCGTCTGGATGGAGAAGGCGGCTCCTTTCTTTGATGTCACTGTAAGAATCAGAAGGACCCCTTCCCTGGCCCCAGAAGATCTGACACTGACATGCAAATCTCCATTACTAGCAGGACATCACTTGGGTTCGGAAAGGGCTGAGTCTCATGATAAATTCTAATATCCCTGGGAGGAGTAACAACTCAGCTCTCATGGGTCAAGGGAACTTCAGTGCTATTTATTTGTCTGTGCACACGACTTGGGCCACATCAAATTCAGGTGAACCACTGTGATGATTTGCCAGAGGACACCAAGCCTTAAAACAAAAGAGAAATGGAAAGTCATAGAAGATAAAATCTGAGTTATTTTCCTGGTCCTGCCAGACTTTATTGTTCATATTGCAACCAAATGACTAAGGACCTTAGAGACTTTCAGCTGAAAACAAACTTTCGGGCCTCTAACAATGTGACACATTTATACCAAACAGTTTTAGTAAGTCTCCTGGGCCATACTTCCTACACAAGCACATGAAGTTTCAAACTGGTAAAAAGGGAAAAACAAATTAAGAAGAATGTCCCTCAGCATTTTTAAGTAAAAGCATCTTAACTCATTATAACATTTCTTTAGTGCAGTAACCAAACTCCACTAACCAATGGCAAAACAAACACGTTCTCTAATTTCAATCCCTCTAATTATGATTTAGTATGAATTCTATCAAAACATCAGTGAGTTCCTATATTGTCTTCCATTCTTTGATCACTAAAGTATAAAATTAAATGCTGTCAAACCACATCATGTCCAGGTGCCTAAAACCAAATATGCTAATATACAGATGCACAGGTATAAACATGTAAGTATATAGATCAGTGATTCTCAACTAGGGGTGATTTTGCTCCCCCCAGGAGACATTTGAAAATATCTAGAGATTTCATTGTCATGACTAGTGGGTGCTTCTGACACCAATGAGTAAAGGCCAGGGGTATTGTTACACATTGTGCAATGCACAGAACAGCTCCCACACAAAGAATTATCCTGTCCAAAATGTCAATAGTGCTGAGGCTGAGAAACTCTTATATAGATCAATTCATACATTAAGCATAAACAAAAGATAAAGTGTTTTAAAATAAATATTACAGGATTATCGCTCCTACATGATGCAAACACAACTGGCGTTCTTTATTCAAGTGGGCATTCTGCTGACTTTGGATAGATCTGTTTATAAGATTATTGAGTGCAATCAAGGATTATCTTAAATGGATTTCAAATATGCATCAACTAGCTGGTTGTCAGCTATGAAGTTTTCCATTTATGTAAATATTCAGTTGCTCTTTTTCTCCCTGCTGCAAATAAGTCAAGAAATAGAAGTAGATTAACATGTTTTTCTAAGGCTAACATTTACAAAAGATCAATAAACTATAAATTCTCCCTGAAGAGTTAAGTGACTTAATGTGTTTATTTTCAAGCCTCAATCATTTTTATTTAGTTACTTTTTTATTTTTCAATTACAGTTGACATTCAATATTATTTTATATTAGTTTCAGGTGTACAATATGGTGGTTAGCCATTTATAAAATTTACGGAGTGATCCCCCAATAAGGCTAATATCTACCTGGCACCATACATAGTTATTACAATATTGTTGACTATATTCTCTATCAGTCTCAATCATTTTTGGCAAACCCAATATTGGAAGCCTGCTTAATTCAAAAATGATCAATGGTAAGAAGTTCCTAAGTATACAGAATATATAATCATTTAAATCAAACGGGATTGCATATGAGGTCTACTCATGTCTATTAAGTCATATCTATCAA